CCTTAATCTCTTCATCATTCACCAACACCTTACACTCTTAATGCACTTCACCTGATAAAAATCTCTTATTTTTCCCTCTTATCTTAGTAAGTTTGTAGATTTTCTTCTTTATCTCCTTACTATCTAATCTAGTGTATAGGTCATCATAGGCTTTCAACTTAAACTTTCTCACTACTTTTTTGACCTCCTTATTAGTCAATCTGTAATTCTTTAGGTTTTCCTCAGTTCTATCTTTCTGCTATTTTTTAAAGCACTCTTTTTTCGTCTTTACTACCGCTTGAACCTCATCCTCTCACTACCAAGTTTCGAGTTAGATCCATTTCCTTTCGACTCTCCAAGGACTTCCCTTGAGATTCTGCTCATACAATTAGTCATCGAGTTCCACATAATGTTAGCATCATTTTCCAAGTCTCAAGTACCTTCTCCATCCATTCTATTCTTAAATACTAGCATATCACCCGTGCTATGCACGGATTATGTTTACAATTATCTATATATGTGAATTGCGATTTTTAAATGTCTTTTTTTTTTTTTTCTTAAATGTCTTCTTTTTTTCCTTTTTTATATTATATTAAAATTTAATATTTTGAAAATAATTATATGTGTTAGACTTTTCAAGGAATTAAATGTCTTTTTTATTATTATTATATTATATTAAAGTTTAATATTTTGATAATAATCATATATGTTGGACTTTTCAAGAAATTTTTTCTATACTTGTTCTTAATGCGTTAAAGTGTTATTAAGAGTGATAATAATCATATATGTTGGGACTTTTCAACGAATTCATGTGTTGGATTTCAAAGAATTTTTTTTATGCTTGTTCTTAATGCATTAAAGTATTATTATGAGTGTAAGACTTAGGGGTTGGGAGAAGTTAATAAATGCTAAGGTTTTTTTTTTTTTAAATAAAAAAATCAAGGAATTTAGATTGGGAAATTGGAGTTCCCACAAGGCTTGGGGTTAAAAACTCTCTTTTGCTTAATATATAGTACTAGCATATCACCCGTGCTATGCACGGGATTAAATTTAAAAAAAAAAAAAGAAAAACTATTTATATTATGTCAAACATATTTATAAATTGTTAGCATAAAATATATGTAATTTTAAAAGAAAATGTTGACATTGCATAATTAAAGTAATAAAAATAAGAATTTATCACATTCGTTCGAAATTCACTAAATAAGTAAAACAAAAAAATAACTAAAATCTAAATTGTTGTAAGCATTCCATCAGCATTCCTGCATTGTCAACATGATAGTTAGGTGGTGTTTAGTTATCATATTTGGCTAAATAATCACAAAAGGACAAAAAAAAAATTCAAAAAATCACAGAAAGCCAAAAATCACAAAAAGACAAAAAAAAATCCACTATTCCAAAACTAAAAAACCAAAAATCCAATCAAGAATACCAAACAAACAAAAAGGTCTTAGGCTAAAAAAGTTAAAAAGGCCAAAAAGTCAACTAAAAAAGTCATTACCAAACAAAGGCTTAGTATTATAATTAATGAACAATACATATATTATGTATTTATAAAATGTTATAAAGTAAAAATGTTATACTTACATATTTTTTTGGGACTTTTCAAGGAATTCATGTGTTGGATTTCAAAAAAAAAATTATGCTTGTTCTTAATGCATTAAAGTGTTATTATGAGGGTAAGACTTGGGGGTTAGGAGAAGTTAATAAATGTTAAGAGTTTTTTTTTTTTTAAATCAAAAAATCAAGAAATTTAGATTGGGAGATTGGAGCTCCCATAAGGCTTGGAGTTAAAAACCCCCTTTTGCTTAATATATAGTAATTACTAGCATATCACCCGTGCTATGCACGGATTGTGTTTACAATTATCTATATATATGAATTGCGATTTTTAAATGTCTTTTTTATTTTTTTAAATGTTTTTTTTTTCCTTTTTTATATTATATTAAAGTTTAATATTTTGATAATAATCATATGTTTTAGACTTTTCAATGAATTAAATGTCTTTTTTTTAATTATATTATATTAAAATTTAATATTTCGATAATAATCATATGTGTATGACTTTTTAAGAAATTTTTTTTATGCTTATTTTTAATGCATTAAAGTGTTATTATGAGGGATAATAATCATATGTGTTGGGACTTTTCAAGGAATTCATGTGTTGGATTTCAAAAAAAAAATTATGCTTGTTCTTAATGCATTAAAGTGTTATTATGCTGGTAAGACTTGGGGGTTGGGAGAAGTTAATAAATGCTAAGCTTTTTTTTTTAAATCAAAAAATCAGAAAATTTAGATTGAGAGATTGGAGCTCCCACAAGGCTTGGGATTAAAAACCCCTTTTTGCTTAATATATAGTATAAATATAGATTTCTAATTTCTCCTCTTTTAGGTTTCACTATCTCATCCTACGACGCCCATTATCTTTTCTAGCTTTGTGTTGCCCTTTAAAGCATAAATCTAGCACAAAAATCTTATATTGAAACGTTAGGCTCTCTCCAAAAATCACTTTACAGTTGTTGTATTTTAGACGATCCACTTTTCTTACTAGAAAGTGTTGGACAATCTTCACTATATCCGAAAAAAATAAATTTTGTTGTGTACTTAACAACAAACAGAATATATAAGAAATAAAGGAAATGAGAGAATTTGTTTGATTCCAAAAATCAAACCAGTAAAATAAAATAAAATAAATAAAACAAACTTTTATTTTGTTACAAAAATAAAATCAAAATCTAATTTAAATAAATAAATAAAACAGAAAAGAATTAACTTACTTAATTAATTTCTTCAAATAATAATCTGATCAAGTACAGTGTTAGACACAGTGTCCTTAAGACAGATTCGTCCTTTCCACGATGCTTTCAAAATATGGACGTCTATCTCTCAGGATGAAATGATCAACAACGAATAAATGCAGCACTACAATTTATTCGTAAAACGAACACACTAAGTGTATATACTCTTTCTCACAGAAAACTAATGCAGCAATATGAAAAGAATAATAGCATAATTATTTGGGGCGAAAATAGTGAAAGAAAACATCAAATGAAGGCTGCCTATTTATAGATGTAGTGGTGGCTTTTCAATTTAAATTAAACAGGTGCAAAACCTGTTTGAACAGCTATCATACCTGTTCAGTTTGAATAAACAGATATAAATCTGTTAGGTTCAAATTTGAACAGATCAAAACCGAAGGGACCTGTTTGGGTGTAGGGAAAAATCAGAACAGAATTATTCCGGAATTAATTTGAATTCTAGACAGTTGGACAGATTTTATTTCAAAAAATAAAATTAAATCCAAATGTTTTTTGCTCAAAAAAATTAGTATTGGGCCGGATAAGCCCAACCCAACCTCGCACCCAGGCCCAAACCCAGGCCAACCCGACCGGACGACGACGACGCGCGCATAGTGATTTTTGGGTCCAATGGGTCTAGCCCATTTTACCCATAACCTCCCTCTCTACAAAACTTAGGCACCCCTTGGGGCACACCCCAAGTTCCAATCCCACGCCTTATAAACCCATTCAAAACTTTCCACCAAATCAATGTGAGACAAACCATTTTTTAAACCTTTAAGGAATTTCCACCAAAACTCCATTTTCATGGAGCTCACTTTGGCTTCAATTTCTCATTCACCCGATAATGGTTTTGAGCAACCAAATATACCATGTGAATCACAACGCGGCATAGAATGCGTTACCACTTAGACCCGTCAAATTTAACTCACGGGTCCCACCTAAATAATAGACCAAAGTTAGGAAAAAATTCTGTTTTTTATCCAAAATTTTCCAAACCATTTCTAACATAAAGTAATCTATTTGACTCCTAATTAACTCACTCTTAAAAGTTATCAAATGTTCATTTTTCTTCTTATACATAATATTGGCCACCACCAGGTCGGCAGCCAACACAAAATCTAAAATACTCTCTTCAGCGTCATTTCTATCCCCAAAAACATACCCACCATGCATCTTCCCATAATCTAATTTATTTATTACTGTCGTTGAAATCTCCACTTATAACAAAAGGTCTCTCATACGGGTATCTTCTATAATACATCATCCATTTGGTCCCAAAATCTCTTAGTATGATCATCTAATCCTTCTTGGGAAGCGTATGCACTAATAACGTTTACTATATTCTCTCCAATAACTAATTAACTAATATAATCCTATCACATTTCCTAATGACCACAACTACATTTTCTACAAGACCGTTGGCAACTATTATTCTTACCCTATTCATTTGTTTATCCTTGCCACTATAATATAGTTCAAAACCAATATTCTCTATTTCCCTAACTTTCTCACCCATTCATTTAATTTCTTGTATGCAAGCTGTACTAACTCTCTTCCTAATCATGATATCTAGCAATTCCATAGTCTTACTAGTTAAAGTTTCTATATTCTATGTGGCCGCCCTAAACCTATAGTCTTGAACTAACTTCTTTGGAAAAACCATGTAAATGAAAATAACATCTCCAAAAACACAACAAAATCTCATGCCAATTCATTAAGAGAGAAGAAATATTAGATCTTGTTAAGCAGAAGCATAATCATCTAGAGACGTAACAAAATGTAGCAAAACTAACATTATACATGGATATAAAAAATATAGTCTCAAACATGTCAAATTTCAACAAATCCTGGACATGTTGCACTACAATCCCAAATTATCTCATTCTTTTGAATATAATAGATGAATTCTACGTTAAAGCAATTTTGAATATTTGAATAATTAGTTACTGTGGGTCAAGAATGAATGATCTTAACATATACAAATGTAGTAGCAATTTTTAAGAATCCTTTTGCAGAACACATATTGCTCCTCTTAGTTTTGCACTTTTCTCTTCTCATCAAGAGACCTAACCACACAATGATGTCAACCCACATCCAGGGCAAAGGTCCAACAGGACTAGATCCCACTACAATGACCCAAAAATAAATCAATGCAACAAAAAATATAACAATTGAAAAGCCCATCTGAACAGAAATAACATCTCCAAAAACAAAGCGGGCACATCAGGAATTATACCAATTCAATTATAGGAAGGAAATATTAGATATTGTTAAGCAGAAGCATAGCAAAGCAGCCTACAAACTACACAAACAAAACTCCAATTATCTCCATTCCATCCCTTAACTGGGATAAAATTCCGTACTAACACCAAAATCAAAGAAAGAAAGTACTAGAACAATTGTTTTTGAAGTATAGTATAAATAACTGAAACAGGATTGGAACTCAAATCAGTGGAATTCGCTAATATTAACTAGCCATTGGATGGTTATAGATTTACTTAATTGCAAGAAAACAGGAGTCAATCTTATTAGTTTCTTTATTTGGAATCTCTAGCTCGAACTCCTCTTCTAGAGGCAATACAATCTCCACATTGTCAAAGCTATCCAATCCCAAATCCTTTTGAAAATGGACATCGGGAGTCATGTCACCTGCACAGAAAGGCAAATGAGCTGTAATTCCAACAACATCTCCCCACGGTATAGGTCAAGCCAGAGATAAGTAACACCAGGTTAGGAGAATCTCATGCTAGAAATAAAAATGTAATGTTGTAATACGGAATTTGCTAATGAAAAGAATTGCTTTTGAAATTTGAAGTTCAATCAAGTCAAGAAGAAAACCAATCGATATTAATGGCTTAAAAAAAAATTAACCTCCAAAGATATGAGGTCTAAAATAATGTTGTTAACATGGAACCTTTTAGTTTTAATTTAGTTTTTGTTTATATATATATATACAAATATTATCTAGGACTACTTTTTTTATGAAATTATAAGGCATCTTTATAGTTCTATTGTTTGCTGCCAACAGTTCCCTGTTGTTTTATCTAATGCACAGCAAGACTTTCTTTAGTAAAATCTACAACATTATGCTACAAAAATAAGCATAAAAATAAAATAAAATAAAATAAATTGAAAATTGTAATGCAGGGTATTTTTTAGGGGAGCGGAATGTTTGGACATCAGTCACAGGACCCACATTGCTGAAACCAGGCCAAATAATACTACATCATAAAGCAGTTGAACACAGATGTTCACAAATAGAGAGAGAGAGAGAGAGAGAGAGGAAACAAAACCATAATCAATGGTAGAGTAGAAATTAGTTAAATTGAAAACCAAATACAATTATACATCATTCATATGCTACCAAAAGCAAGAAAAATTAATTTCCAATGCTATGTAGACTGTAAGGCTATGTTTGGATCAATAATTTGAGTAGAGATTCGGAAAGGGAAAGGAGAATGTCAGAGAAATGGAAAACAAATTTAGCTTATATTTCATTAACATTTTCTCACTTTTTCTTTTCCCTATCCAAATCTTTAACCAAATCCATGATCCAAACACAGCTGAAAGCACAATAGCCTTCCATAAACCAATCAGAGCATTGGGAAGTCTAATCAATTCAGTATGACCATAGCAAAAGAAACTGGGCAGCAATCCAGTGAAAGAAGGAATTATCTTAGCAAAGGGTTGTCAATGAAAATTATAGTATCTAAAACATGTAGTAAAGCCTAACATCACACACTAATGCATTGCAGCTTTAACCAAATCCATGATCCAAACACAGCTGAAAGCACAATAGCCTTCCATAAACCAATCAGAGCATTGGGAAGTTTAATCAATTCAGTATGACCATAGCAAAAGAAACTGGGCAGCAATCCAGTGAAAGAAGGAATTATCTTAGCAAAGGGTTGTCAAAGAAAATTATACTAACATCACACACTAATGCATTGCAGTAACATAAAGAAATCAAATGCTCAAGTTGGACAAAAATTCATCTGATTCAAATGACGAATTGACCTTTACAGAACATCTGTGGGCCAAGAATGAATGGTCACATATACAAAAACAAAGAGAATGCAGTAGCAGTTTTTAAGAATCCATTCATCAATACATATTGCTCCTCTAAGTTGGTTTTGCACTTTTCTCTTCTCATCAAGAGACCTCACCCCACATCTAGGGCAAAAGGTTCAACAGGACTAGTAGATCCCACAACAATTATCCAAAAATAAAAGATTACAAAAAAAACTATGTTAATAGAAATAACATCTAAAAAAATGAAGGCAGACACATCAAGAATTGTGCCAATTCATTGACGCTATGTTTGGTTGGGAAATTTGAGAAGAGATTTGGAAAGAGAAAGAGCAAATGTGGCTGAAATATAAATAAAATATATCTACATTTCACACGCCTTTTTCCTTTCTCTTTCCAAATTCCTTCTCAAATCCCTCAACCAAACACAACGCCTGAGAGGAGGGAAATATTAGATCCTTTTAAGTAGAAGCATAGGAAACATTGCAAAGCAGCCTACCAACTACACAGACAAAACTCCAATTATTTCCATCCCATCCCTTAACTGGGATAAAATTCTGTACTAATACCCAAATTTGAAGGAAAGGACTTGAACACTTGTTTTGAAGGAAAGTATAAGCAAATGAAACAGGATTGAAACTCAAATCAGAGGAATCAGCTAATATTAACTATCCATATTGTCTAAGCTATCCAATCAGAGGAATTAAAGGAATATTAACTATGCATATTGTCTAAGCTATCCATTCATATGCTACCAAAAGCTCAAAAACCAAATACATTGCAGTAAGTAGCATAAACAAATGCTCGAGTTATTTGTCTGATCGAAGTGATGAATTGACCTTTGCAGAACGTTAGTGCTGATTGTTCAGTTCTTGTTGTTTGAATCCTTTGATCGAAACCAAACTCTCTACATAGTGAAAAGCTCTGAACTGAACTCCATTGATTGGAATATCCTTAGTCTCTCCACTTTGGGGGCTGTACAAGAATATCCTTCCCCGTGCATCTTCTGCTATAATCTCACCATTCTTCGTGCATTGTAACAACCAAAACCGTTCAACACCCATAACAGGTCCAATCACAAATTTCCTACACCAATTGCTCTCACCGCCACAACGATCCTCTAGCATCCACACATCAACACATGGGTTGCCAGGACAACACACAACCACAGCAGCATTATCTTTCCAATCCATTAATTTCCAGTCAACAGAAGTCCCGTTGTAGAACCCAGAAAAATCGAGCGCCGGCAGCATGACAAAAGCCTCATTTTGAACATCAAACCATGTGAAGCAAAGACAATGATTTGAAGCAGTTGAAAGCAACCAATACGGAGCTCCATTGACAATCACCTCACAAGACAATTTATGGATATGAAAGCGCAAATCCATTACCTGAATCTCTCTCCAACAATCAGAAATTGAAGAGTATACCTCGACTCGGGTCTGTGACTTGAAAGAAACTATCCTTACGACCTTGTAGTCACTGGAAGAAGTAGTAGAATGGAATCGGAATCCGAACCCGAGAGAGAATTGAAAAAACCTACGAGGAATTTTGATGGTGGGAGGGGGGAGAGATTTGAAGAGTTTGGTAGCAGGGTTCCAGAGGAGGAGGATGATGCGTCGATGGCAATGGAGTGGATGGTTCGAGAGACAGACACAGAGGAGGCCATTGATGGAGCCGATTAGGTGTAGATCGCGAGTGCGGTTGGGAAAGGGGTGGACCAGATTGATAGGGTTTTCAGACGATGAGGGCGATTGCAACAGAGAGAGTGTGGAGGAGGAGGTGGTGCGGTGTTTGAAGGTGAAAATGGTGGTGGTGCGGTGGTGGAGGAGGTGGGAGGAGATGAAGGTAGGGTTAGAGATGAGGTGGCGGAAGGTTTTGCATACGCACCTGAATCGAACGAGAGATTTGATAGGGAGACGATTGAGAATGTCGACGATGATGTCCATGGGGAGAAAGAGATTGTAGTCCGAAGACGATGACATTGCATCATCGGTGGCCTCTGTATTTCTTTCTTGATTCGCCATTATTGCTTCTTTCCAAGAATGGGAATAGACAGAGAAGAGAGAAGAGAGAAGAGAGAGGACGGGTTTTCAGAGAGGTTTTTACACACAAGAAATCAATAGGGACCCCAACCAACTTCAATGGAGTTATTGGTTGTTGTCACCGTCACGTGTATCTAGTGGTGGTGTTGTGATTAGTGGGGGATACGATCGATAAATATATATTGAATAATTAAAAAATACGAGGGATCACGTGATGTCTCTAAATAAAAAATAATTTTTTTTGCGCAAAAACAATGAGGGATGTATAAATTATTAAGAATAATGTTTGAGAGTTCGAATTTGGCCTCTTAATCCCTCTAATTTCTAAAACAATGTCATTTTGGAGAATTTTTTTTTTTTTTTTCTTTCTCCATTTTCGACTCTGAAACAGGGAGAGGGAGAGAAATAGAGGGGAGGGGAAGAGAGAAAGAGAGAGAGAAGACGATCGTCGATCGCTGATGCCCAGTCGCTGATCGTCGCCCAGCCGTCGGTCGTCGTCGCAGCCCAACCCCGCCATCGCAGTCCCCTCATTCCTCCTCCTCCTTCCTCCTTCCTCCTACTCTTCTCCTTCTCTACTTCTAAAAGGCCCCCTCTAGTCCCCTCTTTCCTCCTCCTCCTCTTCCTCCCCCTCCCTCCTTCCTCCTCCTCTCCTCCTTCTCTGCTTCTGAAAAAAAAAAAAAAAAATTAAGGGGATTCGGGGTAGCTCATTTCGAGCTACCCAGCACGACTCAATTATTAATTGGTCTGTGACACTTAGATGACCATCTTTAGGTCAATTACATATATCTAATTTGTACATAAATGTAAATTTTTTATTTTTTAAAAAACACAAATTCAATTTGTGTATAAGTACAAATCAAGTATAATATTTAGGAAAATTATTTATAAGTTCTATTAAGGAGACTTATGCTACATATAGTCATACTAAAAAATTTATGTTCCCATAAGTTATGTGGGAAGTTTGTTGACACGTTTACCATTAATATTAGTTGTTAATATCATAAATAATAGTAAAACCATATGTAGGAAATTGAATGTTACCATAGATCATATCTATATAAACCGTAACGTAACGTGATACCTACATAAACATAACGTAACACTTATAAGTAACGTGACACCTACATAAACGTAACGTGACATCTATGATCTATGGTAGCATTTAATTTTCTATAAAGGAAATTGAATGTTACCATAGATTATATTTATATGAAACGTAATATGACACTAACATAATCCAGCAACATTTTCACATTCAATTTAAAAAAATAAAAATTCATTAAGTTTGCGAAACGTTACGCTACGTTTATGTAGGTGTCACGTTACGTTACATTTTATATAGGTGTCACGTTACGTTACGTTTATGTAGGTGTCACATTACGTTACGTTTATGTAGGATCTTGTGGAATATATTCCTATCTAAATAGGACTTGAGACTCTATAAGAAATTACACAGGACTTAGTCTACTATAAGTGTCTGAAAAAGAACTTATAAATAAGTCTCTCATAATATTTTTTTTATTTCTTTTAAAAAAAATTATAAACTCGTTTAGTTAATAAAATTAAATTAAAAGTCATTATTTTCATATAATTTTTTTTTTTTGAAGATTGTCATATATTTTCATATATATTATATATATATATAATATATTTTTTGAAAATGAAGATTCTTTTTTTGAGAATGTTAAAAATATGTGATTTTTATGTATTTATTTCATCAAATTAACTTTTATATTTAAAAAATAATAATTTAAAAACATAACAAAGCAAACTAATACTTTTTATTTATTTTAAATTTTTATTAAACATATTTAATATTAATCTCATTTTAAAGATATATTTTCAATGATATTAAGGCCTGGTTTGGCATCTTCAAAATAACTTAAAAAGTCAAAAAGTTATAAAAAAAAGTTAAAAAGTTATCATTATTCACCAAAAAAAATAATAAAAAAATTAATTTTACGCAAAAAATAATAAAAGTCAGTCTGACGTCCCACAGGGTGAGGTTGATTTTTTTGAAAAATTGTACAGGTAGGGTGCACAAGCAGCACGCTGCTGTTCGGCCCGTGGGGGCCCATCACGGGCCCCGTTTTGATAATCTGAACCGTTTAATGTGTAAAACTCGTCGAGTATTATATTCTTGTAAAAAATTACGTTGATCGAATATCGCTAACTATATGATCAAATCAATTTTGTATTTAAAAAAAATGGGTGTTGTTATAATTAACAGTTGAAAAAAACTAATATGATCATATAACTATCGATATCTGATCAAAGTAATTTTTTACAGGCATATATTACTCGACGAGTTTTACACATTGAACGGGCCCCCAAGGGCCGAATAGCACCATCTAGTGCAATGTCTGAAAAGTAAAAAATCATTTCTTAGTATCAATTCAGGCTCGCAGACAGTATGCCGTACAACTTACAGTCCTAATATTCTCCTAGACACTAATTTATACAATTTTTTAATACACATTTTTTCATAAAAAGTCAAAAAGTACACTTATTTAGGACATTTCAAATAATCTCTAATTTTATAAAATTAAAATTTTATCTTAAAAATTATATATATATATATTATATAAAAATAAAATAAAACAGATTAAAATAATTTTTTAAATTTTTTTATTGGAAATGAGAGAGAGAGAGAGAGAGAGAGAGAGAGAGAGAGAGAGAGAGAGAGAGCGTGAACTGGTGGGACATATACGTGTCAGTGAGGATGAGAGAAAAGGAAATCAGAGAAAAAGGGAATGAAATTCAGGCCTCGTTTGGGAACAGGCTAATTTAATAATTTTTTAGCTATTTAGCTAAAAAGATAGGTAAAAAAAACTTGTATGTTTGGGATGACTTTTTGGCTAATTATAAAAAGATGTGCAAAAAGTAGAGAGAAAAGAGAATTTTTGACTTTTTGGTATGAGTTGTTGACTTTTTGACTAATTTAGTAACTTTTTAACTAATTGGCTAAAAAAGTAAGTCCCCAAACGTGTCCTCAGTTTGAATATGTTTTGAAATTTTTTATTGTTTAAAGAAACAAATCTATGCCATTCATTTTCGTACGGGTGACGTAACCCCATCTTAAAACAGTCGGAGAGAGAGGCTGAAGCAGATCTGGACTCTCCCAAATTGCCCATCTAAGGCCCTGTTTGGAAATAAATTATTGTAGTAATTTTTTGACTTTTTATAAAAGATATATAAAAAAATAGAAAAAGAGATATATAACAATTTATAGTGACTTTTTTACTAAAATATATAATTGACAAACGAGGCCTAAGATAATTATTAATCAATTTTTAAAATCAATTTATATTTCTCATTCAACATTGCCCAAAACAATTGCATATATGCATAGCACTGTTGCATTTATTTTTATTTTTTTTATTTTGCCATATCCTGGGTAAAAGGTCCCAACAGGACTAGATCCCACAACAACTATTACCCAAAAATAAATCAATGCAACAAAAATAAAAGGATTACAAAACCAAGTAAATGAAAATAACATCTCCAAAATCAAAAGCCAACACAACAAAAGATCATGCCAATTCATTAAGAGAAGAAATATTAGATCTTGTCAAGCAGAAGCATAACAAACATCCACTCATCAAACAAAACTCCAATTATTTCGACCCCTTAACTGGGATCAAATTCTGTACTAACACCCAAATCAAAGAAAGAAATGACTTGAACAGTTGTTTTTGAGGAACAATATAAGCAAGTGAAACATGATGGAAACTCAAACCAATGGAATTCAGTAAGATTAACTAGCCATTGGATGGTTATGGATATACTCAATTGCAAGAAAACAGGAGTCAATCTTATCAGCTTCTTTATCTGGAATCTCTAGCTTGAACTCCTCTTCTAGAGCTATTACAATCTCCACAGTATCTAAGCTATCCAATCCCAAATCCTTCTGAAAATGGACATCAGGAGTCACCTGCAGATAAAGGCAAAAGAAACTGTAATTCCAATAATCTCTCTCCATGGTACAAGTGGAGCCAAATATAAAGTTACACCAAGTTATGAGAATCTCGCAACGACATAATTATGTAATGCGGATTAGATTTACCAATGAAAAAAATTGCGTTTGAAATTTGAGGTTCAATCAAACCAAGAAGAAATCCATATAATATCCGTTCCAAAATATTAGGCTCTTTTGGAGAAGGGAAATCCTACTTGCACAACAAAAAGAGTTCATTACACCCCTAAATTTTCAAAAAATATTATTACACTTTTGTCCCCTAACAAAATTACCAAAAAAACTCCTAAAACCCTAATTTCTCAACAATTATCCTTTCATCATCTCCATAGCCCACTACCCCTACCACTACCACTGCCGTTGGTGACTCTCCTTCCCATCTCCGGCAATCCACTCTACCATTTCTGCCTCTGCCAAACGTCAAATCCCATCAAAGATGACCCTCCCCAACCCCCACTCTCTCTAAACAATGATTGAGAGAGAGAAGTCAACCCCTTTCGCTCACCGCCGCACCTATCACCATCTTTGCAAATCTTCATCATCGTAGTGCGTCCCTCACCACCGTGACTCACTGCTATCACGACGATACAAAAGGGGAGTGAAGAGTGAAGAGCTAACGGCGATGTCGAGGTTGAAGGATTGCAATCGCGATGGCTAGGGTCGCGGATGGCAGTCACTTGCAAAGGTAGGGGTTGCGCAATGGCAGTGGGTTGGCGGTCGTAGGGGACTGCGATGGCAGCGGATCGGCTGTTATGAGGTCTGCGATGGCGGTGTGTCAACGATTGTGGGGGGCTACTAGGCAAGTCACAGGTGGAAGGAGAGCAGTGAGAGGTTGTCAAGGTGGCAGAAACTGGCCGGAAATGAAGGAAGTGGTGGTCAAATGGTGGAGGAGGCTAATGGTGATGGTGGTGGCTAGATTAGGGTTTGAAAAAGAAGAAGAGGGGTAAAATTAGTATATTGAAAAATGTAAAGAGTGTAAAAATTTAATGGATTGTAATGAGAAAATGAGTGTAAGGAGATAGAATAGTGGCGTAAGTAGAATTACTCTTTGGAGAATTCAACTTTTTTTTGTAGTACAATTATTACACTTAAAAAATATTAACTTTCCAAAACTACCCTTTGGTAGTACAATTATTATACTTCAAAAATAATGTTAATGAATTTAAAAGAATGGTAAAATAGGAATTTATGTTATTTTAGTCCTTAATTTTTGAGAAGGGGCAACCACTTTATGCACTATGCCAAATGTTAGGTGTGTATCCAATCTTTCTCCTCCCAAACACACATTAATATGTACTAATTGAGTGTTGTTTTTTTATATATATATTTTGAAATGGAGGGAGTAAACTCTAGAAATCTGAGGTCAAAAATAGTGTTGTCAATATGGAACCTTTTTAGTTCTCTTTTTCATCTAGGACTTCTTTTTATTCTATTTATGAAATTATAAGACATGTCTGTAGTTCCTCCAGTTTGCTGGCAACATTAATTTGTTGTTTTCTCTAATGCACAGTGGTATTCAAGCCTTCTTTAGTAAAATCTACAACATTACTCTACAATACATGTGTGTGTGTGTGTGTGTGTAATAAAATAAAATAAAATAAAATAAAATAAAATAAAAATTGAAATGTGGGATAATCTTTTGGGGAAAGGTTGGACATCAGCCACATCACTGAAACCAGCTCAAATAATAGCACTTAATAAAGCAGTTAAACATAGATGTTCACAAATTACAAAGACACCAAACTAAACAATTATCAATGGTAGAGTAGAAATGAGAATAAATTGAAAACCAATTACAACTATACGTTATTCATAAGCTACCAAAAGCACGACAAACTAATTTCCAATGCTCTGTAAATTGTAAAGCACAATAGCCTTCTATAAACCAATGAGAACATTGGGACATTTACTCAATTCACTATGACCATAGCAAGGGAACGTGGGCAAGCAAGTGGAAGTTAGTCATAGAGGAGGCGGAGGTTGGATGGGATACTCAAATTTTGCTCTCTTTTCTCACTAATTTATAATCTTTTACTTAATTCCATATTTATTGTCTTAACCATCATCAATTACCCCTTTAACTAGTTTGTTATCTTACTTGATGAGTATAACTTAAGGGATTAGTTAAGAATTTGTCTTAACCAATCATCAATTATCCCTTTAACTAGTTTGTTATCTTACTTGATGAGTACAACTTCAGGGATTAGTTAACAGTTGTTACTTATCTTGATTCAAGATCACACAGTTGATTTATCAATTTATCCATTCAATTCCTAAAGCCTCAAACTATGTTTTTCATATCCCCAATTTATTTTAGAATAAGAATGTGGCAATTCATCAATCATCCAAAATGACATACAAAAGCACTCATCTCAACATATCAATATGCAAGTATACAAAATAGAATGCAAATAATAAAGAGATGAAGATTAAGATTCATAGATAAATAGATGAACACCAAGATTGACAGTGGTACAGCAACTTGCCTATGCCCACTCCTGACCTTCCCACCGGCATTATCCAATAAGCAAATGGGTTTTCTCCAAGTAATTTACACATTTACATCCACTTCTTCAAGGGTTTTTACCAGGATACCCTCAAACCCCTACCACAATCATACAATGGTTTAGGTTCACACAACAAAATAGAAACTTCCACCAACACTATGTTAGATTTTATAAAATCTAAAAAATGGACTTCGACAAGGGGAATTGTACCCTTTGCCGCAGTATAGTCTCTATTTGAGACAAGTGTGGTATGGTATGTGCTAACAATAGTGAATTTGCTACACTATGGGATGCATATTATACCTTCCTATGTTGCATGGACTCACATACAAACATTGGGTGCAGGTGCACATCCAAACCTTAAGGGTGTGTTTGGTTTGGTTTTGAGAGAGTGATTTTCAAAAAAAAAAAAATTTTGAGGAGAGAGTTTAAAAAAAAATTTGGTTTGTTTGGTTGTATATTTTGAAAGTAGTTTTGGAGTTTGGGATGATTTGATATTTTGTTGTAATTGAGTAGATGTGTGTGAGAAAAAAAGTGATTGAAAAGGAAAGAGGAAAGATAAAAAGTGATTGATTTATGTGTAAGAAAGAGAAAGTAATTTTGAAAATTTTTTGAGAAAAACCACAAACCAAACAAAATTTTGAAAAAAAATTTCAAAAACTACTCTCCCAAAAGCAAACCAAACAAGCCCTAAACCTTCCTAAATCTAAATATTAGGATATTGGATATGTATCCAAAAAATGGGTACAAGTATGCGGACATATCATGAACACATAAATACTGCATATTGCATAATATTATTAGAAAATATGATGTAAATTATTTAGATATATACTTGAAATTAAACAGGATGCAGGAAAAATAAGAAATTTCTCTTTCTCATGCATGTGAAAGACAAAATATTTTTTACTAGCAATATGAACTTCTTTTGCAAATAGCATATAAAATTAAAGGAACCAACAGCCTACATTGGGTGCAAGTGTCAAAACACATATCTCACACCCTTACTTTTGTCATATCTGGTAGACATAGGTACTATGAGGGGAATAGAGAGTTCATGTAACAATGATGCCTTCCACAAGCAAAGAACTTCCAAGACTTGTTCAAGACATGACAACTACACTCTCTATCCAACGTAGGATTTATGCTCAAAATCTGTATGAGGGCGTATAGGAGTTGTGATATAGCTCTTGGTGCCTTCCACACATCAAAATACTCCAAATGGTTGTTGAGGTTTATATTGCCAAGTTTTCATCGGCTACCAAACGACTTTTTTTTTTTTTTTCCTTTTGAAAGGTTCCAAAATGTGGCCGACCATATTTCATCATGGTCAACCATCTACCACTATGGTTGACCACAGCCACTAGGATGGTGGAACTTCAATAATATGATTAACCATTTAAAAAACTAGTGGGTGGCACACACGATGTGTGTGCAATTTAAATAAGTAGGAATAAAAAAAAATAATAATGAAATTAATATTAAAAAAAAATAATAATGAAATTAATATTATAATGTGTACTTAGCGTAAGTGGTATGAGTCCTTGTACTTAAACCCATGGTCATGGGTTCAAGCCTTGCCCATCTCTTTGTTTAACTTTTTTTTAAAAAATAAAAAATACTGCCACATGACTTGAGGAGAGTAAAGCTTCAAGACACCAAAGTTCCTGTTCACTTTATAATAGTATAGATATATATACAATTACAGTTGTTGAGTTTCATTTTTTTTTTCTTCCCAATTGTCCTTTGTTATTAGCTGCATTAAAGCATTTTTATGCATGTTTTAAAACTCATTCAGCATTCTTTCAACCAAGATCCTCAATCTAAGAAACTTCAAGTACTTAGCTGATTATTACCCAACTTCTCAACAAGGCTATTTGTTATAATCATCCAAACAGAAGGATGTCTAAATCTATTAAGCACAAAGTCCATATGTTTCTTCAGGCGAGTGACAGTTCTTCTAAAGCACAGATGTCCAGAATCTCATATCATCAGTGAGTCATTTTTTCCATGTGTATGCAATGCAAGTGGTTCGTTCTTTCATTATTCAAAGATGGTGTTAAGAGCCAAGAGATTGGACAATAAAGAATATTTCCCAACTTCTCAACGAGGCTATTTATTATAATCATCCAAACATAAGGATGTCTAAATCTATTAAGAACAAATTGGATGTTTGGAGTCTTCACATCATCAGTGAGTTACAAAGACTTCCATTTTTTTTTTCATGTGGATGCAATGCTAATGGTTCATTGTTTCTTTGTTTAAAGATTGTGTTAAAATCCAAGAGATTGGACCAGAAAGAAAATTTCCTCTGTTACAGAAAGGGCATACCTCCTATTAGGCTGCAGCTCCTCTCAAATTAAATAGGACCAATTACTGCATACACAGTCTAACAGCATGGCATAGGCAACCAACCATATCATAAATCCCAGTACCAAAACACCCTGATTTGCAGGGCCAGTTATTGTTGGAATTTTTACATCCAAAATCATCATAAGGAAATCTTCTTCAATATGCTTGACATATCAAATAGTAACTACTTACACAACTTGGTCAAGTAAAAAGTAGCCCAATCCTATCATAGCCTAGGTATTATCAAAAATAGTGGAACTAAACTTCAAAACTTTACCTTAGGCCATCTCCAACCCTTATACTTTTACTCAAATTGAGTAGAAGTTTGAGCAAAAATCTTCATTTGAAAATTGCCAAAAGCACCAATTTTTTAGTGGACGCTAGGAGTTGGGAGTAAAGGAGAATTTTGATAGAAGCACCTATGTGTCAAGTTTCGATTGGATAGAAATTTGAGTAAATGAAATGGGTCTCCCTTGATTTGAGTTAAACTCAATTTGGTATAGATTTGAGTAAAAAAATAGAGGGGATTTTAGTAATTTTTTACTCAAATTTAAGTTTGAGTCAAGATTTGGGTAATGGGGTTAGACAAGTCCTTATTATTCTAGGGTTTCCACATTCCTTTGTTAAAATCAACAAAGATCCATCATTAATATTATCAACACACACACACACACACACATTTCGTAGCAATGAGGCTACAATTCATTCAAAATAAAAGATATGAGATCTCATTTCTCGTCTTAATTTACAGGGAAATCCCAGACAGTTGATTTCATTATTATTTTCGTTTTTTTCTTGATTTCCTAGGTGTTCTGAGCAACCAAACAGGGACAAAGAGAGAAGGGGGTTCACTGACCTTAGAAGGATCGACTTTGGGGAAGCTCTTGACGACGTCGAGGACTCTGTCGATAACCTCTTCCTTGGTGATGTGATCGTCGTGAGACGACATCGATCGGACGGTGCTGCAGAGGCTCAGTTTCGATCCATTCAGGGTTAGGATTTGAGCAACAGGTACACGAATGCGTCCAAGGATGGCTGCTCTCAAAGCCGACGCCATCTCTCACTCTCTCGATTCCTAGTTGGAGGCAATAGTGATTCAGAATGACGACAGTTTGGGTTAAAAATTGAGTAATTAGGGAAATCTTAATCGCAACTACCTAAAATTTCATTACTCATTATTTATGTTATTTTTAATTTTTTTTTTAATAAAAATCAAATATATTAAATGTGAATGGAATTTATATTTGAATCGCACAAATGATATCTATTTAAAAAATTTGTAATGTGCAAATAAAAGTTCTCATTATTCACTGTAATTTAAGTAGGTAACCATTTGTAATCCTCCGGCACATAAGCATATACTTATGGATTTTTATTTTTTAAGAGAAGATATGTAAAAAAAAATAGAGATAGTGATCAGACAATTTATATGACTTTTTTTTCTTTTTCTTTTTTCACTTTTTTAGGCTTTCTCCAAACTTAGCTTGAAATATCTTATGAGTGGAATATGTTAACTTACTTTTATTGAGTAATTAGAAAATAAAGATGACCTCCATAAATATATTTGTAACATTTCATTTGTCAAAAAGAATAACGTAAATACCTACTACCAAACTATAAATAAATTTTGGAAAACCTGATCTTGTCATTAATAATACTCAATAATAATTTTTTTTGAACCTTGCACTACTTCTAAGTATAAGAGGATTTGATTGAAGTTCATCCATTATTAAAAAATTTAATTTTAGAACACCTCTATTTGATATGTCAAATTCAATATGCCAATTCAACAGCTCTATTTTAACATATCAAATGAATTTCACCTGATGTGTCAAAAGTTGACATGAGTTTTGATATTACTCTTTCATATCAATTTTGACATGAAGATCACTTCATGCCTTTACTTTTTTCCTTCAAATAAAAGAATTCATATTTTAGAAATAATAAATTGGCGTATCGGGTGAAAAGTTTCAACATCAAATTAACATAATGCTAATTTGCTATCCAAATCTTCAAAAAATTTTGACATACCAAATTTTGAAAGTTTGGATGAAAATACTCTTATAATCAAAGACTATTATCATATATAAAAAAATAAAAATAAAAAAACCTTTACATTCATTACCCATCCAACCACCACCACTTCCATATTAGCACCACATCCTCGCCACGCCCATTGGCCACCCTCGCGACTCTCTTGCCTTGAAATTCTCTCTAGAAAAGAAGAACGAGAGAGGAAAGAAAAGAAGGCCAAAAAAGAAAAGTGTTGGGTAGAAAAAGCAAGGGAGTGGTTAAAATTGGGAGTGTTTGCACTGGCGGAGGAATGGTGAGAAAGGTGTGGGAAGGACTGGGATGGCAGTCGGAGGTGCAGTAGGTGTAGGTGTTGGTTGAAATCGATGTGGGTTAGTGTTTACAATGTCAAGAATAAGGACAAAAGAGAGACGCTTTCATTGGAAACTGAAAGAAAGGTATAAATAAGACAAATCCTATGTTGACAGGGCTCAATTTAAACAAACTAAATCAACAAAAATGAGACTTGAAGTCTCATATTTCCACCTTTCAAGTTTCAACAAAGTGGATCTTCACAAAAAAAGGCTGTAAACTCATTTTTACTAATTTGATAGACCATAATTAGTCAAGAACAAAAATGACCACCAATAAAATTGACACAAAATGAGAGGAAATTCAATACAGTGGTTATACCATGTCATTACACCATCTAGTAAAAATATTAGTAGTTGTGATTGTCAATTATATTTGAATAGTAAGATTCACCATTCCAAATTTGATTTTATTATTAGTTGTTCATACCGCATGTCAATTACCAATTTTTACATTTAGTTATCAATTGTTCATACCGCATGCCGATAATAATGTGGTATTACCAATTTTTACTCAAAAAGAGGTGTGGAGCCTTCAGGATGATGAAAGAAACTAGTTTTGGACTTTAGTCAAGAACATATTCAAGTTTGTTGAAGAAGTTGGGAGCCACCTTGCAAGGTTTGTGGATGGCTCGTGGATTGTTTGGCACAATTTTTTCGCTGTGTTATCTTGGAGTCCAATGCTCAAGAAGCATTGGATATTGTCAATGCTCCAAACACATCTCACTCGAGTCCTTCACAACATGCATATTTCGAAGCAATCATCCCTTTACTTGATCAAGAAGCAAATCGAGTAGCCGTATGCATTAATCCAATGATATTTTAAGCTTCTGCATTCAAATTATCAGCTTATGATTATTAGTTTTTAATTTGTCAGAAGCTATGCCCAAACAAGAATTATCTCAAGTTCTTTGTCACTCTCCTGTTGCAATTAGGTTGCAACATTGCCACAATTTAGGTAAATCCAATACAACTAGCCAGTTTCATAATCACTGCAAACTACAAAAGAAGGTATCTTATTTGGATATTCATATGATGTGATTGGGAATTGGTTAATTAACCATTCCATTAACAGCCTAATATGCAACTAGATATCGACTGTAAAAGCAATATTGACAAACCCAGCAACAAAATAGAACGGGTGCGGGGAATGGGTTGTACATATCAAAGCTCATTTCATCAATCAATTAACTAGCTAAACTGAAGAACCCTTTTGTACCAAGTGTGTAGTGATGCTTCGAGTTTCTGTCTTCGACATATCTACAAGCAGAACTTGTCCGCTCCAAATTCTTTCCTTCTAGTTTGGCTAAGGATCCTCACACGGGGACTCGTCGGCCTCTGCTCCTCTCAAAGAACTGCAAATACAAAACAAACAAACAAACAAAAATTTAGCTGCAAGTCTTAAATCAGTACAAGTGATGATAAAGCATGCTAAGTATTGGTTCAGAATGTAAAATGCAAAACAATGGGGAATGAATTTTGATAAATGCAATGATTTAAAAAATAAAAAAATCACATCGAATACTGGTTGGATCAAACTATGTAATGGCCTTAACATGGGAAGCGCCATGACATAATCAACTGAAACTAACCTGACATTCTAAATTTACTCATGCATGGTTGTTAGAATCATACAATTCAACATGAATTTTAGCCAACAGATTCAAATCGTGAGGTTGAACAAAAAATTGAATGAATCGTGTGATTCACTACAATTTATTGCAATTCAGTTCTTTTTTGTTTTTGCTTACATAATGTCTGAAACATCGTTTTCACCTTTCCATCAAGGATATATATAATTTTATGTGCTTACATATCTATGACTTAATTTTATATGTAAATACATATCTACAACTTAATTATATTGTTATTTACTTCATTTCAACATTATATATGTACTTTTACATTTATATACATATATAAAATTATATATTATATTAAATAAAGTAAATTTTACGATTCAAGATTCATTATTATAGCAAACCGATTCACAATTTGATAACAATGCTCATGCCCTAGTCCATGCACCAATGGTCCCAATTTGAGATTATCTAAATATATACGAGAATAAAACATTCTATGAAGCATACAATCGAAAAGCACCACAATTTATTTTTGTCGAGAAAAGTATTCCAAGTGTTGAATGTTCATACCGATGTCACAAATGGTTGTTGGAACACCCAACCAACAAGGGGTAACCTCTGCAGAAAAACAGCCAGTGTTGGCCAGAAGCCGCTGCATAGTAGTATATTTCGTTAGAACACAACAAAATTTGAAGTTTGACATCAACTAATGAAGATCTGGGGACAATCAACAAAACCTGAAAAGGACGATAAAACCATATGTCTCCACAATCATGCCAATCATAGGCCATCCAATAAGGACGAAGAAGAAACCAACACCAAATGAAACTGAACCCTGTCAAGAAAAAGAGAAGCGTGTTAGCTTGAAGAATAAAGCTCTGTTTGTTTCGGTGGAAAACATTTCCCAACAAAAAATATTTTGTGGAAAACTTTTTTTGAAAATGTATTAGTGGCAGTGAGGTGGTGGCAGCAGGGCAGAAGTGGCGGTGGTGGTGTGGTGGTGGCAAGAGTGATGGGATGGCGGTGGCGGTGGTAGTGTAGTAGCAGCAGTGGCAATGATGGTGATGGTGGCAGAGGAAGTGTGGTTGCATTGGTAAGACGTTAGTTCGAAAAACGTTTTCCACCTTTTAAAAGTGGAAAAACATTTCCCCCTCAAATAGGCTTTCCGTTAGATTATCGAAAATATTTTCCGTTGTACCAAACGCCAAAAATGTGGCCCAAACAAACAGAGCATAAAGAAAAGAAAGAAAAGCAAACAAACAGCGAGAGAAGAAGAGGGGGGTTCAAAACCTTGAAGTTCTGGCGTTTCATGAAGAATTGCAGGGTGGACTTCACGCCAATGGTTAAGGTCACTCCAGACAAGAAGAGGATCTGATCATCAAACACAAGTGAGCAAATTTTAAGGAGGCAACAAACAAACAAAAATAATAAGAAGAAAGAAAATAAGCATAATAAGAATGGAAATGTCAGATATAGATGAGAAAGGATGATTTCCTTACATTTCCCATTGCAAGAAATCCCTTGTCAAAGAAGAGTAAGATTCCAACGAATGTGAATATTATGCCAAAGCCAGTCAATCCTAGCCCGATCTCTGTTTCATGTGTTTTAAGGATGTAATTACTAATCAAGAAAACAGCCTATACTAACAAAACTTTTGAAACTATTACTAATCTAATAAATAAAGTAGAAGGTGATACCAAAATATCATAACAATTTCTAGTTAAAGTGAAAAATGTTGGCAGCATTTGGGAGGTGAACTGTAGAGCAAAAGTAATATAATTCAATAATGCGAATCACAAACCTTTTGCACAAAAAGGCTTTGTTGATGCATGTTCATCTATATTTAACAATAGTGATACGCAAAGGAAAATTCTATAAAGCTTATAATCTCTCCAGCCACGCCATGAGATGGAAATATATGTTATAATACAAAAATAAATAAATAAATAAAACTGTTTGCTTCTAAAAGCTTTTGCTGATGCATATGCATATTCAGAAAGATATACTCAACTGAAAGTTCAATGATGCTAGTAATCTCTAGAACCACACCATGAAATTGAAATCTTTCAATTAAGTAATAGCTATAATTCTCTCTTACCAGGCCCACCAACTCTATTTCTTTTTGGCTTTCTCTCCATTTCTCAACCAAACAAAAGAAAATAATTAGGCTTTCTCCATTTTCTCTCCTTATTATTTTCCCTTCCTCTCTCTTCCCTTCCCCAAAGCCCAATACCACAAACAAACAAACAAACAAACAAGTGATGTCTCAAAGGTCCATCTTGCAAAAAGTAAGGTGCCCCCATATACCCATACCCAACTTTTGGATGCATATCTCAATATCCTAAGATTTAGGTGTAGCAAGGTCTAATGTTCACACATTCATCCGCACCCGATATTCATACCCGAGTCCGTGTAACATAGTTACATAGCCCACCACTTTATTTTGATTGAAGCAGTTGTTCTCGTGACTCAGCAAATAAGACACTCAAAGGGAATATATCTAATAATAACATCCTACCCCCATATACCCATACCCAACTTTTGGATGCATATCGCAATATCCTAAGATTTAGGTGTAGCAAGATCTAATGTTCGCACATTCATCCGCACCCGATATTCATACCCAAGTCCGTGCAACATAGCCCACCACTTTATTTTGATTGAAGCAGTTGTTCTCGTGACTCAGCAAATAAGACACTCAAAGGGAATATATCTAATAATAACATCCTATTACTGATGCAATGGGAATCAGTTCCTAGAAGAAAACCCAATAGTATTGTAATAATTTATTATTTTTATCACTGTTTTAGCTGTTGTTGTCTTCTCGTTCGCTTGGAATGTGTTGTTTGGAAACCACTGTCAGCCAGCAGCTAAAAGCCCCATAACTTGAACCATAAACTGATAGTGCCTGAACCATGGACATCACTGCACACAACCAACCCAACCACCCGTCCTCCATCTTCAATCACCTTAATCATCGCTCTTTGAACTCCACACGATAGCCACTACCATCACCTTCATTAGTGCAACCTTTCTTTGAACTTACATCAACCCAACACTACTTACCAACAGGTGCAGAGAGGATAGGGCAAAGGAGGCAAGTCCCTCTAGCTTTCAAAGTCCACATTGAATGGACTGCTCCAAACTGAGGCTTCTAATATATTAGATACAATGGTCCCCCCAAGAAGTGTATGTTACAGTTGTTCGGTTTCACATCTCCTTTTATACAGAAGGCAAAAAATTGTATGAGAGCAATGAGAAGAGAATGAGGTAGTTTTAAAGTGACCTGTTGTTATATGAAAGTCATAAATAACAAGTCTCTGAGCTTAGAAGTCTCGTTCAATATTGGTTTTTCATAAATAAAATGAAACCAATGAGATACATTGAACTAATATGATTTAAATATGAAGGTCATTTTCTTTTTCTGCGTTGAGAGTGTTTTGTTCATGGTATAATTAACACAACTCAATCTAACAAATATTCATTACATAAAATACAAAGTAGGCTCGCGTAAATTGGCAGACCCAAAAATGTAGGTTAGAGGGGGCCAAGTGATGTGCATGATTACTCGAGTTCATATCAAGGGTACAATTACTATACACACGCCTATCATAAGAAAATTTATGAATTTTTGTGGTGCTAATTACTAATCACACCAATTATTGTGTATGTCATTACGAAGGGACACGCTATAAGAAAAGTCTTAATTACGAACTATTATGATCATGTTATTAACATTAAGAAGTTGCAAATTTTTGCTGATTAAAAAATATGTGATGAATTTTGTGATTTGGTTATGACTCATTGTGACATAATTACAAGAAGACATGGCATACACATTTTAGGGAAATATGTCTAATAGAATTTCCCTAATATCATACATATCTTCATCAATATATTTATCAAAAGTATTGGTTCACTTTCAAGTTAGAATCACAATTTGCAAATATACATGTAAAAAACGAGTGTTTTTTGTCGGGGCCAGCTTTCTTTACATAACGGGGGAGGGGGACAGTATTCATCATCTTAAAGAATGACAGACTCAATGTACTGACACTAAACAGAAATATATTAGCTTAGGAGGGGCCGCGGACCCCCTCAGCCCCCACTTGGGTCCACCATTGCATAGTTCATTAAGAAATGAAATCAACAAGAAACTTATCAAAAAGAAAAAGATGCTTTCACTTAAAAAAAAGACTACCATGGCCAAGTTTCTGGTTTCACCGGATAGTGATGCTTGTAAGGCCCACGTACAAGAGAAGACACTAGATTAGGGCAAAAAATACTAGAAAACAATTACGGTGTATTTGTGCACAATCAAGTCAACAAAGCCTTCACTATCATGCACAGTCAGATAGAACATAGCATGGTTCTAAATATCAGCCAGTTCATAGCGAACTAGCTAGTTCAAACCAATTTTTGGCCTTAAGATACAGATACTCCTTAGTATACCGTTGTGAATTAATACCATTAGTGAACCAGCATGTTTGTCTCACAAACCAATTTGAATCAGATAAAATCGCCAATATTTCATCGAACTGACCAGTTCACAAAAGTTTTAAATATCAAAAACTGAATAAATTAGCCATGGTCATTTGTGGGCCAGACCACAGAACACTTTTGGCCTGATCCACATACTACACACCTTAGGCCTTTCTTTTAGAAGCATTTCAAGACTTAGATTTTGGTATCTGCACTATGTGCAACACAGAAGTTTGGGGAGCTGCGTATGTACTAGGGGTTAGAGCAGTAGTAATTGAGTTCGACCAATGTGGGACTTGCATCTCTTCATGTGAGTTTGAAAACTTGAGTGGTACTTTGTTTTGGTATCTCATATCACCGAAGGATAAGTAAATTCAGAACATATACCTTATTCTTGATAATATTGTAAAACTTGAGTTAATTTTTAGCCTTTAAATGCAAAATGACAACTTATAATAAAAAAATGCAAAATCACAATTATAACTTTATAAGAATTATGTATAAGGTTGTTGCAAGTGGACTTTGTGTGGTGGATTTCTTGTAATTGATTTGATTTTATTATCTTATTAAGTAAAAATGATTCTATATATCAATAAATTGATTAAAATGTAACAAATTATGCTTAAGAGCCAAAAAATTGTGTATCATTGAATTTTAGGGAGTTGTGGATGATTTTCAAAAAAGCACGACCACGTCACTTAATTCTCTTCTCAATACATATCGCTCAATACTTCTAATACCATAATATCACGATCAATATCAATACGTCTCTCAATACCGATATTTAGAACCACGGAACATAGTGTTAACAACATCAAAACCGCAAATAAAGTTATGTCAAACATATTTGATATAAATGCATAGTTTATGGAGTACACATGGTGCTACCCACAAATATTTATCATGTTCTTCAAACCCTGCTAATTAATTTACTAACTAACCTCTTCCTTTCCCCTTTTGAAATGCTTTAGTGGGAAGGGGATGATGGTGTAAGGAAACTTTTACTTACATGCATTTTACAAAATATCTCCATTATAAGGATCAAAGAATATAATAAGCAAGCCAATTGAGACAAGTAACTGAAATTATCAGAAGCTAACTTACAGCATAACCGTTTGCACAAAATACTAGAGATCTTGTGAAACTGAGCTTATTTTCTCAACAAAATCACAAGGCATCCATCTCACATCCTTTTCACCCAAGAGCTAAGGCACTCCCTTAGGAACCAAAGGTGACCATTAGACTAAATTTGCATAGTTTCAACTCAATTGAGACCCAACAATCATGCGCTTCTTGCATTCCTTTTGAAAAAACTACATATGGTTCAATGTATTCACCTTGTAATTAAAACACTACAGATACATGATATTCTTGCGAAAAGCACCATACTATAGATTCTTGTTGAAACTCAAATTCACAAACAATACGCAAAATTCAAGAAATTATCAAGCAACTTTAGTATATACCTTTTGGGATTTGCTCTCTCTTCTTTCCTTCCTAATCTTCTTCTTTTTTTCTTTTTTAAATGCAATTACAATATGTAAGCATGTAAGAAAGATAACTACGAACCAATCTCTTCCCAAATCATAAGACCAAGTCATGCATAAGGAGCACAAATGATTGTGAAGAGGAAAAATGTACAAGGAAGTTGGGATTCACGTGCAATCTACAAATAGAAGAAAGCATCAAGCAATATCATTTTTACCATAATCATTTTTGCAATAATTCTTCGTTCTTTTTTATATTTTCTTTAATTTTTTTTATTTTTTTTTTAGTTTAAGCAAATATAATTATAGAACATGAGCATGTCAAACTCAGACATCCCAAATCAAGGGGAACGATGCATATATGAGCAATTATTCAGTGCACCCTGCTCTTAATAATTTGTGGGGGGGGGGTAATCAATAAATCACAAATATAAACTAATAAATAATGAGAACACTTTAAAAGTGTTCTAGGAACTTGAATTTCAATGACTCACCACTAAAAAATTGCAAATTAGACGTAGTATCACATAATTCACATAGTACTAGAATGGTAACGAATTATAGATTGCACTTATTTACACGTATTTTTGAAGTTTTCTCATACTAATGACAGAAATGGTTAAATGAAGGGAAAAATTATAGTAGACACCCTTAAAAGGTGCATACTTTATGCCAACAATGATTTGTAACAAAATTACAATGGTTCATAACTTTTCTCACCACAATAGTTCGTAATGGTTCATAACTAAGATTTTGTTATCATGTGACCATTCCTAACATAACTACAATAGTTCGTTACCAACACCACCAAAAATTGTAACTTTTCTTATGATAAGGGAGTGTGTATAGTAGGTTTTCTTTTAACTAAAAGATGAAAACACTAATGAGAGAAAAGAGGGGGGAAAAAAAAAAGGGAGACAAATTAGAGTGAAAAGAAGAAAAAAGTTGTTTGTCCACTAAATGAGGAAAAGAGGGAAAAGAAAGAATTAACCGTTTTAAGGAAAAATTCCTTTGAAGGAGCCTTGTATATTTAGATTTAGTATATGAATAAAAATATAAGATATCAAGGAGGGGTTAAGTATAATTAAACTATCTAAATTCCATATGCACAATAAGGAATGAACAAAAAATGCTTGTAAAAGAGGGAAAGAATGACATTTCCACTGTATGATTAAACATTAGATTCTTTAATATAAGGTCATCAAATGATACTTCTTCTTACTTCCTCCTCCTTTCTCTTTTTTGTTTTTTTTGTTTTTTTTGTTTTTTTTGACGGGGATGATATGGCACTTCAAACTAAAGACAGCGAGGTATAATATTGAACATTATTGTCAAATCACGAATAGAATCGTTAATTGTAAGATTCACTTTACTTAGCATACATATAAAACCATGTATATCAATATAATTAGTTGATTTCTTTATTTTTATTTTGTGAAAATGATGTCATTTCATTATGCAAACAAAACCGAATCGCTTGAATCACAATGAATCGTAGTTAATCGCAAATGAATCATAAGATTTAATTGCACGAATCAAATCATTTTGCTTGAAATTTGTATCAAATCGTATCAATTGAATCGTAAATCGTACGATTCTAGCAACCCTGATGTTGACTATCATGAACATTTATTTACAGAATACCAAACTTTGATCAACAAACAAAGCTCATCACAACAACATTTTCAGATCTCATCATGCAAAATTAACACTACAACAGAAAAGGAAATAGAATGGACTCACTTTTCATATCACTCGCCTCGAATGAAACCATTTTCTTGACAGCTAAGCAAAACTTCTAGCCAGCAAACTTTTCAACCTTGCTGCAGCAGAACATAAGAGAAAGTAATGAATGGATTATTTTTAAAAATTAAAATAAAAGAATTTAAAAAATTTAAAAATAAAAGTGCAAAAAAAACTGTTGATTCTCAGATTTCTCATTGCTTAAAATGCAAGAATTGAAAGCTTTTCGGCTTGAGCTTTACAAACTAGTACAGAACATAATAACTTATATGATTTTCCTTTTCTAGAAAACAAGTCAACATAGAACGCATGCAGAATTAAATTTCCTTTTCCTCTCCTCGACTTTCTAGGCAACCAAAAACAATTGAATTCAGCGCAGAGCGAGTTAGGGTTTCTGTGCGTAAAACAGCGATTAATGCAACAAGAACGGCATAGAAAATGTCGCAAACTTGAGAAATGAAATTCGATTATCATGCAAGAAATCAACGTGCCAGAATCAGGAAAAATGGAGCAGAAATCATAGAAGATGAAAATGAAATGCAACCGAATCGAAATTGCAACTAGAGTTGTGAGTCTATGCATATATATATGTACGAATGAATATTTATACGTATGCATATGAGGACAGAGAGTGATGCATACCAATTGGAGGAGATTACTCAGGCGACGGAGAGAGAGAGAGAGAGCCTACGAAGACTTCGAAGTTTTCAATTGCCTTCTGTATGAAAGAAGAAGGGAGGGGAACGATGCATATATGAGCAATTATTCAGTGCACCCTGCTCTTAATAATTTGTGTGCATATAAAATGGATTTACGGCGCGTTTAATTCATGAATTTGAGCAATAATTTTAAAAGGGTGAATTACAACCTTGCTTGTTTCTACTTTTCAAAAAATTACACTTTCATATTTTTCGTATTTTTTTTGTTTTTATTAAATTTTTTTAATATTTTGAGTATTTTTTTTATTTTTAGACACACTTGACATAAATACACCTAAAAAATAAAAAAATTATAAAAAAAATCTTTTAAAAATTCACTAAATACTAAAAATAAAAAAAAATACAAGAATTCAGTATATTTTTTGTATTTTTATGTATTTATTAATTTTTTAAAATATTTTTTCACAAATTTTGTACTTTATAGATATATCTAAGTAAGGTACATCTAAAAAAATAAAAAAAAATATTTAAAATTTAAAAAATATTTACTAAAAACAAAAAAACACGAAAATCAAAAAAATCAGTTTTTAAAAAATTTAATTCAAAAAACTCAAACCAAACAGTTCTTATGGTTTGGGGCTTGTATCACATTGATTCATGATTTTTTAATTATAACACATTTGATCTTAAATTTTGAATCTTGTTCCAAATAAGGATAATTGAAGATATTATTAGATTTTTTAAGGATAAAATCGTTAATTTGATCAAATATAAACTAATTTGATAAAAATAAATGTCAAACATATATTTTTGAATTTTTAAAAATTATTTCTACTTACTAAAAATAAAATTATGTAAAATTGATAAATCTTTTAGACATTTATTTATTTTTTTACCAAATTAATCTTTATTATGTGTTTGGATAATGATCATGTAAAATTAATTTTTAAAAATTAATCATGTAATTTTTATTAATTTTTATCAATTTTACATAATTTTTATCATTGGTGGATAAAAATAATTTTTTAAAAATTAAAAATATTTTTTTGACGTTTAAGGGGTTGTTTGGGGTGTCCTAAAGAAGTGCACTTTTTGAATTTTTATGAAATATGGGTTGGGTATGGGTTGGGTTTGAAATGATGTGATAGAGAGGTGATGTGACTTAAATAGGATAGTGACTTTTTGACTTTTTAGATTTTTTTGAGGATGCCAAACTTGGCCTTATTTTTGTCAAATTAATTTATATTTTATTAAATTGACGATTTTACCCTTAAAATTAAACAATGATATCTTCAATTATCCTTATTTGAAACAAGATTCAAAATTCAGAATCAAATGTGTCACAATTAAAAAGTCAAGGACCAAAATGACACGAGTCCCAAACTATAGAAACTGTTAGTGTAATTTGCCCATTTAAAAAGAAAGAAAAAAGATAGATAAAATATGAAATAAATTTATATAATAAAACAGGACAATTTTTAAATCTTCAATATATTTTTGTCCTACTAGAATATTTGCAATGGCTCATATCTTTTTTTCTTTCACTTTTCAAATTTATGAACCAAATACAACTTTAATAAATTCTTTTAAAATTTGTATCTAAATTTTAGAAAATTCTATTATATACATTACATATCATATGCAACTTTAGTCATGCTATTTTTTGACTTAGTTATGGCTAATTTTCTCCTTATATTATGTTAAGATATTTGATTATTACTTTTTTATATTTGATTATGACTTTTTTTTTAATTATGACTCAGAAAATTTTAGCCTTCGTTTGCTTCTCTTTTGGAATTGTAATTCCAATCAAAAAAATTTAGGTTGCGTTTTGTAAAATTTTCTAAATATGATTTCAGAATAGAGTTGTATTTTGAATTTGTAAGTTTTGAAATTATGATTTCAGTGTGAAAAATTTGTTTGGTGAATGAATTTTGAAAAAAGTTTTGAATTGAATGGAGAATTTTTTATATGACATATGATATTTAATACAAAAACTTACAACTCATAACCAAATACACAACTTAAAATTCTATTAAAACTCGTAAAAAAATTTTAAAAATTTCGAAAAATATTTTTTATTGAATATATAAAAATTGACATGTGTCAATTGCAAAAAAAAAAAATTACATTGTTCCGGTCAACAGGTGGGACATCCGGTTAGTACAAATTTTTCTGCCTTCGATCGAGTTTTCAAAAATGAGTGTGGAATTAATTTTTCAAAGCCACAACCAAACACCATATGCAAACTAAGGGCTAGAATCACAATTCCAAAGCTCTTCCAAATAGAGCCTTAAATTTTTTTTCAAAACTCATAACCAAGCATACAACTCAAAACATAACAAACTCAATTCCAAAACAATTTTCAAAACTCATAACTAAATGCACAACTCAAAACTCAATTCAAAACGCTTTTCAAAATTTAAACGAAAATCTTTTCAAAACTCTATTTAAAAAAATAAAAAAAAAATATATTTTTTATTTTATTTTTTAAAATTATTTTTAGAATTATGATTTGAGTATAGAGTCGTATTTTGATTTATTAATTTTGAGTTGAGATTTAAAAAGAGAAAATGTATTTGGTTATGAGTTTTGAAAATAGTTTTGAGTTTTGAATTGTGTTTGAAAGATAAAGGTAGCGTTTGGTTAAGTTTTCAAATCATGATTTGGATTAAAAAAAAAAATTCAAAACTCTTTTTAAATTTTAGGTTTTCAAATCATGTTATTTGAGTTGTGTTTTTTTTTTTTTTTGCCAATTCAATTCAATTAAATTCCAGGTTTGTCCCCAACTCAATTGCAATGTTTTTTTATCATTTCGTCAAAATTTGATGACAAAAAAAAAAATCATCTTCAATACTCCATTTTAAATTTTTTTTATCAAAGTTTAATTTAATTTAAAAAAATTTGGATCACCATATATATCTAAATCTTAACAAATTATTTGGTCAATACTTAAAAAAATAAAAAAAATATATTTTTAAAAAAAATAAAAAAATAAAAAATATTTTTCTTCAAAAATAAAAATAAAAAAATATTTTTTTCAAAAAATATAAAATAGAAAATATTTTTAAAGGACAAAATAAAAAATATTTTTTTAATAGAATTTTGAAAAAGAGTTTGGTTATGAGTTTTGAAAATGAATTAAGTTTTGAGTTATGTATTTGGTTACGATTTGAGTGTGGAGTTTTGTTTTAAGTTTAAAATATTAAAAAAATTAAATATTTACAAAATAAAATAAAAAATTATATTTTTTAAATAAAAATATAAAATTTTCTTAAACATTTTAAAATATTTTGAAAGAATAAATCCAAAAAAATTCAAAGTACTACTCAAAATTCAAAAACTCAAAACTTAAAATACAATTCAAAACTCTTTCAAAACTCAAAACTAGTTTCAAAATTCAAAAATTCTTTTCAAAACTCATAACCAAACAAATTTTCTCTTTCCAAAACGCAACTCACAATTTCATACTTAAATCACAACTTAATACTTAAATCATAATTACAAAACTAAAATTATATTATTTTCTTCCATAGCTATCAATTTTAACCTACATTTTAAAAAATTTAAGACAGTAACTTTTCAAATAACTAGATACAAAAAAATAATAATAATAAAAACATTTGTGAAACCAAAAATTAAATATATATTAATGTTGGAGAAGACTATTGGGCTCTTCTTTTATTTATTCATTGATGTAAAAAATATTTTTTTTAATACAATTGTGAAAAGAGTTTGGTTATAAGTTTTGAAAATGAATTAAGTTTTGAGTTATATTGTAATAACCCGACTCTCGCATACGATTCTGATATATTTTTAGTCTCCTATTCTGTGCTTTCAAATGCTTAATGTGAAATTTCATGAGAAATTAAGTTTTAAGTGTATGGATCTTATGAATTGAACTAGAATGTTAAATCAGAAATTGAGAGTCCTAGAGGCTTGATAATCCGACATTGATTTTATATTTGAAATCAGCATAATTTTTACGTAATATTAAGCATTGTTATAAAAATTTGATTTGGAATGATTAAATTAATTAGTTTTTGTCCTATTCACCTTATATATCTATCTATGTCCTTTGAAATATTTGGCTTAGGGCCTCTAATCAAAATATCTCCTGAGGTTAGAAAGGGTTGAGAGGAAGTTCAAGAAGAAGATTGGGAATTTAGTGAGGATTGTAGAATTTGAGCTCAAGGTATGTAATTCTTGCTTTTGTTAAGCTCTCATGATAATTGAGTAAGAAATTCTCTCCAATACTTAAGTGGAAGTTACAATTAAAGAATCAAGGGTGTGTGTGATCTTGTTTAGTTGTATTGGTAGATGAGTTGGTGATCTCAAGCTTGTAATAGAAATCTCACCTTTCCTCTCTTGATTTTACTTATTGTGTGGTGTTTCTTTACATGCCTAAAAGATTATGTTATGTTGTGAACTTTAAGTTATGTTGAACTTTAAGAATTAAGAATCTAAATCATAGTTAGAGTGTGTGTGTGTGTGTTGGAGGATCCCATTAACATGTTTCTAGACCATGTTTTAGCAATTAAGAAAGCTATGTGGAACCTTGTAAATATGCACCAAAAGATGGGATTTTGAAGGAATTTTCGGATTGTTTTGAGCAGAATCGCCGCACGTGCGGGGGTCATGGCCGCACATGCGAGAACCCTTTTTGTCCTATTCACCTTATATATCTATCTATGTCCTTTGAAATATTTGGCTTAGGGCCTTTAATCAAAATATCTCCCAAGTGCAAATTGGGGGAGAAGGTTAGAGAGGGTTGAGAGGAGGTTCAAGAAGAAGATTGGGAAGTTAGTAAGGATTGTAGAATTTGAGCTCAAGGTATGTAATTCTTGCTTTTGTTAAGCTCTCATGATAATTGAGTAAGAAATTCTCTCCAATACTTAAGTGGAAGTTACAATTAAAGAATCAAGGGTGTGTGTGATCTTGTTTAGTTGTATTGGTAGATGAGTTGGTGATCTCAAGCTTGTAATAGAAATCTCACCTTTCCTCTCTTGATTTTACTTATTGTGTGGTGTTTCT